AAAATACAAAATATGAATATGAATTAGACAATCCTATTGTAAGAAATGATGACAAGTATTTTGGTGAAGGTTTCATGATGATCCAATGAATATTGAGTGATTTATTCAACAATCTGTTTTTTACACTCGCATATGAACCATATATATAGCACGAAAAATTGGATTGTATTTCAAATGCTGGAAAAATACATATTATTAAAATTGAGCAGACAATCCTATTGTAAGAATTGATGACAAGTATTTTAGTGATGGTTTCAAGATGATCCAATGAATATTGAGTGCGTTATTCAAAATACACAATTTTACATTTGAATATGTCTATTACACTACTACATTTAGCAGAAACAATGTTATTATGACATCGAAATACAGAATTTTACATTTGAATATGTCTATTACACTAGTACATTTACTGTAAAAATGTTAAAATGATTTTAATACATTAAAAAAAAAAAACAAATTGAACATTAAGCAGACAGTTCTTATCTAAGAAGTGATGATATATCCTTTGGTGTAAGTTGCATAATTGTTCATTGGATATTGATTGTTCTATAAGTAATCTAACCCAAATTCTAACACATTTACAGTAAGATTATTATAAAAGAATTGCCGGATACTTAAAAACTAGTTTTTAATCAAAATAATCTGTTGTTAATTTAAAACACCTTGTCTAATGGCCAAATATACATCAATGTCAGCTATTGTATTTCCACCAATATACCTATGATAAAAAGACATTCCCATACGCATGGACAACCTTCCTAAAATGAAAAAATAAATTATAACAATAAACTCAAGTACTTATATCAGAGAATACTTACAACTAATTAAACAAAAATCTCGTGTTTTGACATCAAATTATTGACTGAGACTAGGCAATGAATACCTTAATGCTCAACACTGGCACATGCCATAAATCTTAAGATTGAGATTTAATCGATCGCGAACAGCCCCAAACATGAAATTTAACGCATATCACATCTGGCTCATAGAAGTATAGTATACTAAATTCACATCCAATAGAATCCATGTTATGTTGTTGACCTAAACATAAGAACAGATTACCTTACATCAAACTTGAAATGTATTGCATTAACAATACAAAATGGCGTGTATCAATAAATTAAGTACACATTGAACATTGAACGTTCAAAACGCGTAAGAATAACATGCTCTTGGTTCTGCTGCTAAAACAAAATAAATATGAAAACAATTTGTTAGTAAGACGTGATGAAACGACAAAATACCAACCGTTTAAACTAAAATAGAATTATACACGATAACGGTAGGCGGCGAGCAATGACTCAATGTACCGTACAGTTGAGTAAGAGCATTCAAACATTCACGAAATTAAGAATAAAGTATTCACCGTATCAATTAATAAAACATACTATAGTAAGGGTAATTAATTTAAAAAACATTTACAATTACCTGCTTTTAACGTCAAGTACACCGGAATAAAAACAAAAGTATTCAAACTGTATAATAACAACCGACGTTAGATATCGTTTACTAGACCACTGTTTAAAATAGGATAAAACGGTTTTGGTATACAACGAAAAACACAATAATCAACGACGCAATGCTAAAAGCAAAATGAAAAAAAATGTATAACTAATATTTCAACTTCCTGTCAATCTGATGAATAACGAATGACTCATTTAAATTATTATAGATAAGAGAGCTACGTCAATTTTGATAACGCCGATTAAAATATTGAAAAACCTACAAATAGAAGAAAAAAAAAATTCAAAAGAGTAAACATCTAGAGTAAGAACATTGACGAAAATTGGGTTTTTTTCCAAAACGATCTAATGAATAATATTTAGTGTGGTATTCAGCTCTCAGTTTTGTAGACGTATATTGTGGATTATTTTTAGCAAGATAAATTATTTAATGACTTCAAAAAACTGTTTAAAAACACAAAATTAACAGAGAAAACATACTTGCAGTGTTTGAAAAAACACGAACAATCATTTGGTGTGCGTTTCAAGATGATCCAATGAGCATTGAGTGCGTTATATAAAAAACAGAATTTAACATTTGCTTATGACAATTATATTCGTTCATTTGAAATGATATAATATAACTTTGACACGGCTTCGACCGTTGCTGTGGTGTCGAATTAATAAAAAAGTGTGAACCAGTGGATAGCCGTTCACGTCTTATTGGTCATTTGACGGTAGACGAGCGACCAAATGCGTTTGGTTAAAAAAAAAAATACGGTTTTCAAGAAAGAAAAACAAGATTGATATTAATTTTCAGCGAGGAAAAAAAATATATGTCATAGAAACGGACGGCAATGTTGCGTTGACTGTCTGTGTAAAAAGTGTCGTGGAGTCGGTGTCCGTTACTCGTCCAGTGCGATTTGTCTTGCCGTCACGCCTAGGCCTTTACAGCGTTGGTGGGTGGGAGGGCTGTCAATATAGCTACTCTACACGTGGTGGTGGTGATAGTGTACACAGGTCGCTGCGGTGCGTGTACTTTGAACCGGTGACCGATGCGTACCTTGACAACTTTAAGAATTAATAACATTATGAAAAAACCAAAATTAACGTTAAGTAGACTATTCTAGAGAAAGAAGTGATGACAAATCTTTTGGTGTATGTTTCGAAATGATCCAATGAATATTGACCGTGTTATTCAGCAATCAGAATATTACATTTGTATTTGTCTATAATACTAGTATATTTAGAATGATAAATGTTTTTATGATTTTAAAACGAAAAAAAATTATAACAACATACAAAAGTATTTATATCAGAGAATACATACATTTGAATTAGCATAAATCTCGTTTCTTTGACATCAAATTTTTGGCTGTAATGGTCAAAGAACACCTCAGTGCTAACTATTGACACTGATTTTACATCTTACTATAAAGATTTAATTGAACACGAACAGGCACACACACACAACGTTTAACGCATTTCACATACAACTCATAAGTCATAGAAGTGTGTATTTTACCAAATTCACCTCCGATAGAATCCTCTTATCAATCTTGTATTGTTTCTATGACACGAAATATTATCTGACATAAAGTTTTTACAGTGTTTGAATTTTTTATACACTTTACGACTATTTGAAAGTAATAGATATCAACAATACATGCAGGAACACCTAATGAGATAACCTTGAATTTTGGTCAAAAATCATCTCGTTTCAATATTAACTTCAACTAAACAAAATCGCATGTATTGTAAAAACAATATATAGATCATACGTTTAAAATGCATAAGAATAAAACATGTGTTTAAAGCCTTTGCTGAAACAAAAAAAAAATTTTTTTCTTGTTAATAAGACGTTAAAATAAAAAGAAGAAAAGTTTTTTAAACTTATATGGAGCTATGTATATATGATTACAGTAGGTGGCCTTGTTGAGTACATGATATAAAGATTACAAAAATAAAAAAAAACTTATTTATTATATGAACAAATAAAACACATTAAATTGAATTCACTTGAAAGCAAAGACAAATAACTGATTTTAACATTAAATTGACCAGAATAGATATAATAAGTATTGTAACTATCTCTATTCTATGTTCAAACCGCTGATACAAATACTATAAGTATTCAATACGATAAAATAGCTTTTATAGTATAAAGGAACACACAATGATTGTTGTAGTTATTCAAAATTAAAAGAATAAATAAAACTTCTTATTACATTTCTTGTTAATTCGATAAATATTTATTTCTTTTAGTCTGAACATCCTTATATTTATTTCAATTATATTTTTTTCAGAATTTTTTTAAATCACAAGAAATTTTTATCATACAAGAAGTAGGTACAAATCAAAGACAATATTCTTGAAAAAAGCGCCAACAAATATGAACACTTATATATGTTTCAGAGACCGAAATAAAACTTTCTACCTACATTCATAGTAATGTTTCATTTGTGCCAATGAATCGTTTATCTGATCTGCTTAAAAGAAATATCTTCGAATTCAAAAACTGCCAAAGAATTTTATCTTAAAATAACTCACAGCAATTATTAGACATGCATATTGTACTTCACTTAAACACAATCATACTGCGCAACTGAATAAAAATACATTTAGGCAACACAAAATTCAGTGCATTATAGCACTGTGGTTAGAGAACCAAATATAATTCAATATGTTTACGGTTTTACATTTTCTAATTTAAAGGTAGTAACGTGGTATACTTATCATTATTTACTCTACTTCACGGTGTGTTAAACGAAGAATTCAGTAGGAACTAGGCCAATAGGGGTCTTAGTAAGTTGGTACCTAAACAAAAAAAGCTACGGGAAATGCATCCAATGCACCGTAGACAGATTGTACGGGCTGGGACCGATGTCCATTGGGTGTTGACTGATACCTAGACACTCAATTTCCATTTTCGGAATGTAGGTATTTATTTTCCATACACAAAAAAGCACCGAGCAAGCTACGGGACTAGGAAACAAAGTGATTAACACCGGCTCACGGGCGGCATTAGACATTTTCTTAGGGAGGGGCAAAATTAATTTAAAAAAATAAATGAAGATTTTTTTATAGTACATTATTATGGTTCGCAATTATTACGTTTAGGTAGGTACCTATTGTTATTATATATTTAATTCATAGAGCATTATTATTTTTCATTATAATTACATAAAATTATTAAAATTATTTCAATTAGTTAACATTTTTATAGTTCTTTTCTTTTCTTACTTCTTAGTTCCAACTTCTAGGTAGAGTAGAGACAATTGGCCCGTCTTATACCCCCCTCACAACCAACCACACACAACGTAACGTCAAAATGTAGTCACCAAATCAGTGGCACCACTGGCACCAATGACGCAAACGACGTAATTAACGGTTTCGTCACGAGATTTAACTATTGACTGCTTTATCTTTTTCTAACTACGGTTTTTCACAAGTCCTGTCTCCGATCAAAGTAATTCACTTAGAGCGAGTTTCACCAGCCCTTGGAAATATTATAAACTGAAAAATAAAAACTGTTATGTTATAGGTACCATAAACTTTTGTACTGAGTACTACACTGTACGAATTAAAAGTAAAGAGCCATGTAAGTTAAAATATTTTCTCCCATGATAGCTAAAGCATCCCCAGCCCATGACGTATCTACCATCACCTAATTTTCACGTCTATTCAGTATTCAGTTCCTGACTTTCCTGTCCGGTGCCCGTGTTCTTGATATTCGATCACTTTATTTAGGGAACACTAATTTATTTGTAGTTTTTGTATTTCCAGTTAACATCTTCAAATGGATCCTGCTGAAAAACAGGTAACGTGTTTATTATATTTTATTTATATTCTTTTGATTGTTAGTTTAATTTGTGATACAAGTACTTTTTATCATTTGTGACCTATCGTCTTGTATTCGTGTATTATTTTCTACTTTTATTTGTTACGTTTGCTTAATGTAAATGATTTAAACTTATTTAAGTTATTTACTTTAAACGATAAGTTTATTTCAAAATAATTATAATCGTCCTTTTTTTAGGCGAAAGCCGCTTGTGGTGAAAACAATTCTGTGGCCGAAATGTCGACCACTACTGTTCTGAAGACAACAAGAAGTAAAGAGTCTTTGGAAAAAAATAAAAATAATAGAAAAATGATAATCGATTGTACTGATCCTATGAATAAAAGTGTTATGAATTTCAATTTTTTTGTAAGACTAAAAATTAAATATTAATCTCTATACATTGTTTTTTTAAATATTATATACCTATTTAATATTTGCAGATAAAATTCCTTCAAAAAAATTTGAAATGTGATGGTGAAAGTAATAACTTTAATGTATCTTTAAAAAAGAAAAACACCAAAATTATTATCAAATCTAATGTACCGTTCATGATGAGGTATGTCATAATTATAATTTTAACTTTAAATGCTTCTAAAATTGAGCATTATTTTAATATTATATTTTTATTTTAGATACTTGAAATACGTAATCAAGTCATACCTGAAGGAGACGACCTTACACAAATTGTTGAAGATAGTTAAAACTGGACCAAACAATTATACATTTAAAATATTAGATTGGGTAAATAATTTTTATTTCGATATTATTTATTATTAAAAAATGCGTTAAATGCACTGATATATCACTGGATTTAGAAAATTTATATTTATTTTGTTGTATAGCTCACTTTGCATAATATTGGTAATATAGGCAGGTATGAGTTTAAAAACTATGATTTAAATTTTAAAGTTAAAATAAATAATATATAAAAAAAAAAAAAAAACAAATCATTATTTTATTTTATTAATTAATGAAAAATTTTAAATGTTTAACAGATATATCTTTCAAACGTATATCATAGTCAATTTTCTTTCAGCTAAATCTCTTTTAATATTCCAGTTTATTGATCTGTAATAAATTTCAAATGTACAAGTATTATCTATGTTCATGTCGAATTGTATCGTTATTTTAGTATTAAATGAGTTACATGAAAATTATTAATATTGTGTATGATTGTTATTTGTTCTTAGATTATTAAGTTCAAGAGAAAAATATGAGATCAAATTCCAATTATTTTTTACCTTTAAATTTTAAAATATGTCAATTAGTCATGATTTTTTAACAACAACACAAAATGTATTCCGATTATGAGTTTGGTTCTAAAAAATTAGAGTACTAATAAGTTATACTTATGATTCTGTTTCTACTTATAAAAATAGTTTTCTACTGTCTAAATGCATCTCTATTTCTTTTCTTTTTTTTAAGATAAATTAAATTAATTACAGAGTATGTTCACAATATTAAAACATTAGTTTCTGTTTTATCATTTACAAACGTGGTATAGGTTAATCCTTTGCTTTAAATATCTGATTTATGAGAAATGCTTTTCCAGCTAATGATAGGAATGGGAGGTGAGAGATAACAAAATCTCTCTGGAGGCAAACTATATTGGTCGTTTTTTGTATAATATTAAATTCTGTGAATTAATCAAAGTCTGTCCGTTTTTATATTATTCTAGCCATAAAACATTGTGATCTCGAAAATTGACTTATGCAAAATAATTAATCATTAATAATGTATAAACCCAGGCAGGTTATTTTATTTGATTTCAGTTTTATTTTATTATGAATAAAGGTTAGGTTAGGTTATGTTTCATATTTAAGAATAAAATTGTTCAAGTTATTTTTATTTAGCTCACAACTTAAGATACTCAATATTTGCATAAATACAAAATAATATGTGGAACAAATCAATAACTTCAACTTAAAAGTAATGAAATATTTAATAAAAATCTATGTTTTAATATATATCTAGCGTTTATAACAATAACTGATCAATTATATTAATCTAATTTTATCAGTTTGGCAACAAATTAAAAAGTTCAAATAGTAGATGTATTCTTGCTGATATTTTCATATTGTTTTTTACAGTTTAAAAATGTATACATTATAATCCATTTTCTTACTTATAGATATTTAATTAATAATTTTTATATAATAGTTGCTATACATTTTAAATCAATTTTTAAACGGTTTGTTACAGTTGTATGATAAAGATGTAGAGTCGAGAATTAATGAAGATTATTCCAGTGTAATGTCTTATATGAATAATTCTTTTGAATTAATATAAAAATATTCATTACTAATTTTTTATATTATATACCTAACTGCTTGCCACACGAAACTGTGACTAAGCATTACATAATATAATCAATAACAACATATTAATGCCATATTGTGTATTTTAATCACATACTTAGAAAATATTATTTTAATTTCAAGTGTATACCCATGAACACTTTTATCTAAACTAATACAGTAGAGTGTTGCGTATCCAGTTATCCGGATATTTTATATTTTATACTTTAATACTTGTATGTATATATTATCATACATAATCACACACACACACACATATATATATAAATGATTTATATCAATGTTGATTACTATCTACTATTCATTGATATATTTATATAATATATATACATATTCTATAAGTTATAATTAAGATTTTATTATAATTATTATTGATATTATTATTATTATTTTTTTTTTTTTTTTGTAAAGTATTGTCTTGTGTAATTTTAAGAATATTGTCGCACGTAGATTATTTAATATAATTAAAATAGTTAAAACATGCACTATTTTTAATATTATAAAATATTTAAATTCAAACTACTAACTGGAAATTTTTGAATATTGTTTAAATTTTTTTTTGTTAACTTTTTTATGTGTTTTGAAGAATAAGTTTACAAACCAAAACCTTTTATGTAATTTTCCATTTTAATAATAATAAACATTTGAAACTTAGTACGTTGTAATTATTTGATAAAAAAATAGTTTAACCGAGGTATTGTATTACTAATAGATAAATAATTTTAGAATAGCAACATAAATGTATGATAACATATCTTTAGCAGTATGGTTGACAGATTCTCTCTGTTTAGAACTGTGTTACATGTTTATCGTATAATTCTCTAATTTATATTGCAGTGACCCACTCATGAAAATGTACACTCAATACCTACTATGCAGCAGAACAATTTTCTCTATTACATATATATATATTTATTTATTTTGACAGTCCAATAAATAATATATGCTTGTTAGAGAACGTTTATTATATTGATTAAGAAATTTTTATAAAATTTTCTAAGACACAAATAACTGAATTCTTAGGATTTTTTTACTGAAAGGTAAATCCATAATTATATTTTCAAATAGAAATTTAGAATGTTTTATTATGAAATTTATTACACAAAAGAACTTTTTCTTTCTTCTTAATCATAATTATATCATATAAATCATTAAAACTGTGACATTTTTCACTACAAACTTTTTTTTTAGTATAAGAATTAATAATTTATTCAATTTTTGAATTCTGAACAGAAATTTGATTGGTGGAAATACAATAGCTGACATTGATGTATATTTGGCCATTAGACAAGGTGTTTTAAATTAACAACAGATTATTTTGATTAAAAACTAGTTTTTAAGTATCCGGCAATTCTTTTATAATAATCTTACTGTAAATGTGTTAGAATTTGGGTTAGATTACTTATAGAACAATCAATATCCAATGAACAATTATGCAACTTACACCAAAGGATATATCATCACTTCTTAGATTAGAACTGTCTGCTTAATGTTCAATTTGTTTTTTTTTTTTTAATGTATTAAAATCATTTTAACATTTTTACAGTAAATGTACTAGTGTAATAGACATATTCAAATGTAAAATTCTGTATTTCGATGTCATAATAACATTGTTTCTGCTAAATGTAGTAATGTAATAGACATATTCAAATGTAAAATTGTGTATTTTGAATAACGCACTCAATATTCATTGGATCATCTTGAAACCATCACTAAAATACTTGTTATTATTTCTTACAATAGGATTGTCTAATTCATATTAACACTTCTATCTGGTACCAGCATCAGAACTACAAAATCATAGTATTATAATATACAACCTATTTATATATATATTTGAGTGCAATCAAAAGGTGAATTATTGTGTATGATCAATTATTATTATTTTCACAATATTATTCATAGAAAGTCAAAGTATATGACCTAATAAATAGAAGTACTTTAAATGAATTATTTGTTTTTCTACAAAGTTGAATGTGGTACAATGATTGCAGTAGCTTTGGTATATTATTAAGTATGTAAACATTTTATTTACACAGCTATTTAAAATAGGTTCTTATGTCATGTGATCACTATTTAAGAGTAAAATAAAGGTGTCACTAATTAATTCAGTTTGAATTACTTTTAATCCAATTTTGTGAATTTAATATATTTTTTTATAACAAATACATACTTTTTAAGTTATTAATGTCACATAGATTTTTACATATTTATAGGTTTAGACTTCTAAAATACATATATACACATTCTCGCATAAACTTTAACTATACCAAATTGTAATTTTCAAGATAGTTGAAACTTTCAATATGCTAATTATAAATTTGAAAAATTTATAAAAATGTGATCTTAACCTTCTCCTGATTATTCTATGTTTATGTAATTTATATTGGAAAAGTCATAATCTGAATATTAAGTAGACAATCCTTATGAAAGAAGTGATTACAAGTATTTTGTGGTGGTTTCAAAATGATCCAATGAATATTCATAGTTATTCAGCAATCAGTTTTTTACACTCACATACGAACCATATATGTAGCACGAAAAAATAATATATGTTTCAAAACTGGAAAATAAAAATATG